TTCAACTTTTGTACTGCTAAATGAGACCACAGATTATTTCTTAGTTCTCCATTTAACCATATTTTCCTGCACACAAGTAGATTAACTAGAGAAAAATCTTAGGACTGATGTGTCTTTGCATGTGATTAATAGCTTTCTTGAGACCTTCAGTAGGGTTGTTTATTTATTTTGTTACAGCATTACCAAGGAAACTAATATTGGGACAAATGAAAAAGAAATAAATGAGTTTGCCACAAGACATGGACACCCGCCTTTATTGATAAGTGTGCTATTAGTGGTGATCCCAAGTTTTCTTTGGGTTCATTGGAGCTTTTCTGTGCTTTCATCCCAACATTCATGTTTCTTGAAGTAATTTAATGATATAATTTCTTTAAGAAAAAGCAAAATCTAGCTTTAAGCATGCTACTTCAAAATCAAGAAAGTATTTTATATTTTTCAAGCCTTCTACGTTGAATTCTCATGTTGCCAAACACTTTTAAATAGACTTGCTTTTTTTCTCCAAATCACATGTCAATATAATATCATAAGCATACATTCTAAGAATTTTATTTTTTTTCCATTAGGTGATAGCTACATAAAGATATTATGATCAGCTTAAAATTCATTATATCCACATTTGTGAGATATTTGGAAAATCATCAAAATCATGTAAGAGGAGATCGTCTGAGATTATATGGAGCTTTTCAACATTTAAATACCTTACTGGAGTTTCTTTAATTTTTCATTGCATAATGAATCTCCATGTATATAATTCCTTCTCAAGTATCAAATTAAAAAAATCATTTTTATTGAAAAGTTGACGTACAGATCAATCCAAATTTATCACAACAGAGAATAGTTTTTTGCATGGCAACAAGCTAGAAAATTTCTAGATAATCAAAATCATATGATTGAGGGAACCCTTTAACAACAACCTAAGCTTCAAATTTAACCACACGCTCATATAATTTAGATTTGTTTGTAAGTATCTATTTGCATCCAAACTGATTTTTTTTTCCTGGCAGAAATTCAAAAATTTTTGCATAGCATTTTTTTCTAAGGCTTAGATTTCTTTCACGAGGAATTTCAGAGATTCAAAAACATTATTTGGATTATGTATTTTTATATAGAGAAGTGATAAAGCACTGACTGAATCCAAGTAAAAGCCCTTCATAAGTCATGAAATAATAAATTGGGTGTTCAGTGAATAATATCAACCATGATCTTAAGACAATCGAACAAGTCAAGATCAATATCATCATCTAACATTTATTCTCACTAGCACTTCATTTGTCCATGAATTAGGCACGGTTTCTTTAAATGCATTGGAGATATGTTGATTGTTTCCCCTCTTGATTTATCTTTTCCCTCAGCATAAAAGCAAAGCTCATTCTCCATAGGTTGGTTATACTGACAAGTTGATGAAAGAGTTCGCAATTCTGATGAGGCTATAATAGTCTGATATACCTATAAGGTGATGACGAAATTTGCAGTTCTGGTTAGGCTTCAGTAGATTGATAGAGAGCGAATGAGAAATGTTCATTATCCATGGTCTAATGGGAGAAGATTGTAGATGATAAAAAAAAATTCAAACTTAAAATCTTGTTCCTGAGTTTCATCTACTTGACTTGCAATTTTAGAGTAATAAGGTAAGGTTGATGCTCAAGGAATATCATGTCCATAGATTGATAGAAGGACAATGAGAAATATTCATTATCTTTGTATTGTAAATAAATGTGAACGAAGACTAAACACCCAAAGATTTTTGTGAGTAAATGATTTTGATCTTAAAAAATAAATAGAGATGAATTTGAACAATTTGAAATTTAAATGCTTTCAAAGGCATTTTATATTAATGAGATATGTATAAGATTACTTCTCCACAAAGATATATAAATTTGAAATATAAGGTCACTTTGACATTCTTCCAACCGCTGCTAACTCTTCCCCAACCTCTCCGGTGACTTTTCAGCCGCCCTCCGACGCTGCCCAGGACTATTTCAGCCCCTTTTGTGTTTCGTATATAGTTATTTGTTGCATCGTCGAGTTTTTTATTAGTCTTCTTTTTTGTGTTATTTTTTCGTTAAAAGTTGATATTGTATTCCTTCAAAGTCAGCAATAAAATTGTGTCGTTCGAATCATGGTTGGGGTTAACTCCGATATCATATAGGTCAACAAAATTTGAACTGTAAGTGTATTTTTAATCTTATGGCAGATTTTACTCAAAAAAAAAGAACTTAATTTTTTTTGTTAAATAGAGGAGGAATTAACTTTAAAGTAAAATTCAAGTGTCCTAGAAGATAAAGCTAAAGTCAAACACACTATCATTATTTCAAGTGCGTTTGAAACTTAAATGAGTGGGGTTTCGTGGATACACAACTTCATTATTTAAGCCTACAATTTACTTGAAGGCTCAGTCTTAAAGGAAGTCCTAATTACATCTTCAAATTGCTAATCATCCTCCATGGGTTCAAGTTTTGAAAATAAACAATATTAGATGAGAATTTGATAATCTTTAATTATAGGGTCCAAAATAGATGAATTAACAACACATTAGAAATAAAATGCAGTAGGTTGTGGAGTTTGGTTGAATATATGAAAAAATAAATATTCACAAATTGCTAGATTATTGTTGCAGATGAAAAGTTGTTGCCCATAAATTATTGGGTTGTTATGGATGTAAATGTGTTAGCTAGGGATTCAAAAATCTATCAGCATATAAATTAAAACAAGTACTACTGCAAAAGGTTTTGCAGGAATCAAGCCATTCTCCATTCTCGAAAGAGTATTTCAAGAGATGCAAAAGCCTAGCTTATGTTCCACGAAAACAGCAAGAGCAAACTTTAAAAGAAAGAAATGAAATGAATAAATAATACAAATTCTGAAAGAAACATATCCGATCTCAATCATGAAAAGAACCAAAAAAGGAACGGTAAATCCAAATATTAATATAGACTCATGCAACAATAAAATGAACTTTGTTCACAGGCTGATATTTATTATGTCAAGAAAATTATAGGACCAAACCTCATTATAATTCAATGTGATGATTATCAAAAGGCCTAATACTTTTGAGACAAATCGTATTTAATATATTTCATCACTAGAAAGTAGAGACTTAAAATCAGCTCATCTTATATAAACCGAGATTCCTTTGAGCCTTTGAAGTATCTAATTCAATATAATTCCTTTGAAAATCTCCCTCCCTCCCTCTCTCTCCCTCCTTCCCTCAATGAAGTTAATCCATATAGTTATGCAAATAGTTAAGATTCTTACACTTTCCTACTTTCAATGCTTACATAAGCAAGCATGGAGAGGTCAAGATGCAAAAATCCATGTCAAAGAAAAATTATGTTGATGGCTAAAGAATTGTTTGAATAAAAGATACATTTACGAAGCATCAGTGTGCCTAAATCCTTTGAAGGTCCTTTCTTCAAGAAAAATAAAAATAGTAAAAATCATTCCTCTAGTCAAACCAAGTCTCGTTGTCATGTAAAAAAAAGTAAAATTAAGTTATCCAAAACTAACCAGTTGCACAGGGATGGTTCTCTTGAAATGGTGTTTTATCAACCCTGCTAAATTTAGAATTACCAAGGACATAAGATAGGTGGAAAGCGGGCAAAACCATGCCTACCATATTAGGAAATTCAAATTACTATATTCAACGTGAAAATATCTTAATCAGAAAAAAAACATTAGCAAGCTGCACCATCATAACCAAAAATGCCATAACTAATCCCCAGCTTACATTTACACAAAAAGAGATGCACAAGTGGATCTACTGTGATTGTTTTCACATTCACTAGCTTTTTCCACAAGTATAAACACCTTCAGCCACAACAATTTCCCACTCAAGGTACATCCATGGAAATATGAGTACCTCACCCATCCCAACCAAGCTTATATTTAATATAAAGCAAGTGACAAACTAAGGTGTAAATGATCTACATAACTTCTTACTTCTAGGTATCATAAGTTCATTAATCAGGAAACCCAATATGAAACTATGAGCTCTAAACATAGATTTGAGAAGGTTGGGTTCGCCATACTCCTCAATCATGTCCGCCATACAAGAGATAAATAATCTTTATCATCACTACCTTTATCTCGACTAGTTTGGGTCTAATTTATCAATCCCAATTACCAATTATTTGTTTTCAATGGCAAATGATATGTTAACTCGATCTTTGTATACCTTTTAATACAACTTCTAGAGATATTTTCCCTTGTCTGCCACATTTTTCATCTTAATCATTTCACATTGATTTGAAGTACCCACAATATTAGTGCATCCTCAGCCAGACGGCATACATACCCAATCTAAGTTATTTTCACTATCATAATGTAATAGGTGCAACTCCACTATCCCTTAGTACAGTTGTCCTTCATTCCATCCTTGTGATTAATACCAATCTTCGGCATTAAATTTTTACCATTCACAATTATACCACACTCAACTTGGCACTTAGCAGCTCTTTTCCTTTTTTCCTGACACTCAATTTCATTTAGCACAGCTGATCAGATATTCTCATATAGCAAGTACTCCTAAGTCATTTCAAATTTTGAACATTCAAATTTAACTCCATAAGTAAAATCAACAATTATATCCCTATTCTTTGATATAATAAATCAAAATTACTTAAACCTATGACATGATCTTCCAGTAGTATAGGTCAAACGCTATCAATTATAAATCTACAATAAGTGAAAATCATATACAATAATATATTCAATTTATTATCTTATAAAAATTGCACAAATTGATCCCTTTTGTTTCAATTATTCTGAAAGGAAAATCATATACTGGAACTATATCATTTACAAATAATATACACTGAGGTACCTAACATAAAATTTATTCAGTGGGCGCCATCTGCAAACAGATAAATAACCTATCCTCTGAAAATTACTAGCAGTTTAAAATCACAACCCATCAAACAAATTCAAGCAAACAAAAATCCTCAAAAAACAGCAAAAGCAAATAAAACCAACATAAGCCATCACAAACAAACCGCACTCACTTTTTATGCCGGCGACCCCGTTTCTGGCTCCACGCCTCAAGCTTCGCCAAGGGACAACCACATCGAGCGCGAAAAAGCAGCACAGCCCGACCATTCGGAGGTGCCATTCTCCGAAGCTCGGCACGCAAACACTCATAATCCGGATTATTCCCCTGCTGACCGCCCTTCCACGGAAGCTCGTCAACCTCCTTCCACGCAACAGCGGCCGCCGAGGCTGATCCGCTTACCGACGAGAAAAATCGGATACATTCCTCTGTCTGAATCTGGACATCGAACTCCGTCGCCTTCCTCAAACCCCGACATCGCGGATTCTCGCATCGGCGGGTCCAGATGCAAGCTCGGTAGCAGGCGATCTCGAGTGCAGCAATGAAGGCAGCAAGGAAGACAAGGAAGCCGGCGAGGAAGGGGAGAGGATCGGAGATGGAGATGAGAGGAAGGAAGAAGGAGACAGAGCGGATGATGTGCGAAAAGGAGGAGGTGATGAGAAAGGTGCAGGAGAAGAAGACGAGGATGAGGATGATGAGGTCGAGTGTTGCCGAGGGGGAGTGGTTGCAGGAGGAAGAAGAGGAGGAGGTAGGCTTAGGATTAGGGTTAGGGCTTTGGGTGTAGAGGCGACGAGGTTTCAGGACGGAATGCGAGGACATGGTGGTGAGGGAGGAGAGAGGATGGAACATGTTAAAGAGCTGTCCCAGCGAGTGAGAGCAGCCGATGCTTGTTTCCGTCGCTTCTCTCGTCTAACTAGGCTTTTTTTTTTTTTTTTTTTTAAGGGAATTAATTTTTAAAATTTTTATAAAAACTTTTTTTTTTTTTTTTTGGGGATAATTTT